ATTTTTTATAGAATATAGTAAAAAATATATTTTTTTATATATATATATATATATATATATATATATATATATATATATATATATATATATATATATATATATATATATATATATATATATATCTTTTACGTGGGTCTATATATATATTTGTGTTTCAATAATTACAAACGACATTCTGATAAAAATGTTAATCATTATAAAAAATATCTTACTGTTTAGAACAGTTTTGTCTCGTTTGATTGCTCCATGTTTGAAATTACTGATGATGTTTACTGTCTTAAAAATTCCTTTATTTTTGGGGAAGACCTTATTTCTAATTTTTTACTAAAAAAAACTATTTCTAATTTAATTTTTCTTCTTCTTCTCATAATAAATTTATCTTTTAATGATGGTCACTTTCCTAAATGCTTGAAAATTTTAAAAGTAATACCCTTATTTAAATTTAGTGATAGGCTTTCTATTAATAATTATAGACCCATTTCCATTACTTCTAGCTTATCTAAACTCAATGGAAAAATAATTTCTAAAGGACTCTCTAATTTCTCAAATTCCAATAACATTTTATGTCATAACCAGTATGGCTTTCGAACCAGACTATCAACAGAATTTGCTATAGTTTACTAAGTTTACTACGTTTCTGCGTCTCTGGAATCTAAAAAATTTTCAACTGGTGTTTTTTTTGACCTCTGTAAAGCCTTTGATTCAGTGGCGTCACTAGGGTTGGTGTCACCCGGTGCGGTAACTCATGGTGTCACCCCTCTCATGACACCCCATAGACATACAGCATTCTTAGCAAAATTTATAAACACGAACAAGTTAAATGTGCTCGGCCGCGACGCTTAATAATTCGGACGTCGAATTTGAATGGTATAAATGTCGAATACAAAAATGATTTGAACGAAAAAAATTTTATTCATAATACATTTCTGGGCGCTGGGCGGGTTAGGCTGAATTAATGATAAGAATAATTTCATGGAGGGACATAAAAACATATACAGTGATATTTTGGTGTCACCCCCTGTGAGGGTGTCACCCGGTGCGGTCCGCACCCCCCGCACCCCCTAGTGACGCCACTGCTTTGATTCTATAGATCACACTATCTTATTAAATAAATTGTACGTTTATGGCATAAAAGGTATTGCTTACAATTAGTTTTAATCTTATTTAAGTGATCGCTATCAATATGTATTTATTAATAATTCTGTCTCTGAGCACGTTCCAATAATTTCTGGTGTTCCCCAGGGCTTTATCTTGGACCACTGTTATTTAATTAATTTATTAATGATTTTGTTAATTCTTCCAATATTTTAAATTGTTTGCTGATGACACTATTCTGCAATTTTCGCATTTTGATCTTAATATTTTGATTTCTATTATTAATTATGAGTTAACCTTTATTTATGACTGGGTAGTTTCTAATAACTTGAGAATTAATCTTGTTAAAACATGTTTCATTTTTTTTGTCCTAAAATTAGAACAAATATTGTTTTTCCAGAACTATTTTTGAATAATGTTATCATCAATAGTGTTTAGTGCATTAAATTTTTGGGCGTTATTATTTCTAGTAATCTGTCTTGGCTTGATCACATCCGTTGAATCTCTAATAAAATTTCAAAAAATTTAGGAATAATTTATCGATTAAAATTAAATTTTCGGAATTTATTTTAAAAGCGTTATATAATTACTTAGTATTGCCTTACTTTACGTATTGTATATCGGCTTGGGGTAATAGTCCCAAATCTAATTTAAATATCTTATATCTAAATCAAAATTTTTTTTACGTTTTATATTTCGCTTATAATAATATGATCTTATAAGTAACTTTTATTCTCTAGCTAACATTCTTAATTTAAACCCTTGGTAATAAAATAAATGAAATAAGATTTTATAACATATTATCTGTACAGTACATTACTACACGCTCTTGATGTTCAAAGCCTTATAAGTAAAAAAAATTATATCATAAACACTACAAAGTTTTTCAAACATTTGAAACTGGAATAAAATAACAAATTTGATAACTAACATTGAAAGTGCTATACTTATACATATGTTTGAAGCATGTTTCTACGCATTCAGAAGGAATCGATGACATCACCGTTCTCGGCTGAACGTTTATACCCGAAAAACATCCGACCGGAACGATGGTGTTTTCTTCAATTTTGCACGTGAATAAATGAAAAAACAATGAAAAAATTATTTGATTTTGTGTTAACTAATGGTTATGTAGTTATGAAAATTTTCATCAATTTTTCATTAACTTAAAGCAATATGAACTTCTTACTTTCATAAAAAGAAAAGAATTGATTCCCTCCACACGGAAAGCCATCAGAACAAAGTTTATCACACTTTGTCTCTTCGACTTTGACCCCAAATATCTTTTGACCTTTATTATTCTTTTGACTCATTTGACATCTGCATATGCTAGCACTCTGAATATTAAAAATTATTACCAGGAATAAAAATTGATTTATAATGAAATGAAGTGAAAACAAAATTGTCAAAAAGTAGTTTCCTTATGTTACTACAAGTTATTAGCTAACCTTTATACCATAGTATTGCAAACCAGAACACTTTATGAAACATTCAAGTACCGATACAACAGCTGTGCCTATAAAAACACCCTGATAGCACCCTTTATGATTCCAGAGCGTAAGGATCGTATCATTCACTCCTATGTGAAAACATAAATTAATTATGAATAATAATTGATAATAAGTTCAACTTATAGATGTTAAGTTACGTCAGATTCAACTCAAAAGAGTGTGTACGTTTTTGTGTGTGCGTGCCTATATTGTGTGTATGTGTGTGAGTGTGTGTGTGTTTCTAAATATCTTAACAGAATTGTTTGTTATAAACTAGCAAATTTTTATCGGATTTGTCAATATCCTGTACACTTGAAATCATTTTTAGTTTTTTGAATTATTAAATAATATTGTCTGTCTCTTTAAATTATATTCCCATTTTCATTTTAAAAAGCTTGACAGAAACCAATTTTTGAACATACTTTCAATTGCGGCCGTTGGATGGCAGGAAGCAAGTAGGACAACGAAGACTACCAGAGATAACTTTATCGGAGCCATGAAGCACAACTCTTGCTTGATGAATAACCACCAATTATATTTTCAACAATAATTATCCGCCAGATTTGTTTGTTTATAAAAGTTGGTTGATGTTAAGAATGTATTTTCCCTTCCAGTGTTTAAATGAAATGTACAGGATATCACGCAGTTAAAAACGAACTGAAAGTAACTAAGCAAATTAAAAAAAAATATTTACTATTTATCTGATTGTGACGTAATTGAAAGAAATATTTACAATAGAGTTATTAAGTTGAACTGGTGTAATATATATATATACACACAAGGTTCAGTGCTTGAGCCTTTTCTTTTTATCATGTATACCGCTGAAGTTTTTAAAGTAATTGGTAATTTCGGTTTTAAATATCATGCCTATGCTGATGACATTCAGATTATAGTTAGTAAAAAGCCAGAATTACTGCAATCTGAAATCAACAAACTTGTAACCTGCCTGAATAACATTGAAAATTGGATGTCAAACAATGGTCTTAGATTAAATCAGCAGAAGTCAAAATTTGTTCCAATAGGTACATGGCAGCAGCTGATGAAACTTGATATCGACTCAGTGAAAATAGGAGATGTTAAAATAGAATTTAGTGACAAAGCAACTAATCTGGGTTTCATTCTTGATTCTAGATAATCGATGCATGATCATATAAAGATGATAACAAATTCTTGCTCCGGACAGATTCGAGAACTCTATAAACTCCGTAAGTCATTAGATAAATCTGCTATTCATACCTTGGTGCATGCATTGGTTCATTCACGATTGGACTATAGCAATGGCCTGTTTTACGGTTTGCCAGATAGGTCTATTTCTGCAATTTAATCTATTCAGAATAGAGCAGCCAAATTGATTGTTGGAGGTCTCGAATTTAACCATGTTACGCCAATTTTTAAGGGCCTTCATTGGCTTACTATGAAGAAAAGAATTAAATATAAAATATGTATTTTAATGTATAAAACTGTGCATGGCTTGTTACCAAGTTATTTGATAGATAAAATAAAAGAAAAGTCTATAATGATGAGTGGTATGAACCTTAGATCAGATGATGGCATTTTGCTGGTTGTACCTGATGTCAATCTGCAGATAGCATCAAGAGATCTTTTAGAACTAAAGATTTGAAACTTGAAGATTTTAAAAAAGAAACTTAAAACTTACTTATTTTCGCTTTGATTTTGTTATTTAAGTGAATAATTATTTGTTTGTTACTACCGCCATTGACAGTACTTTTTTCTTTTTTGACTTTGTTTTATTATAGATAGCACTTTTGAAAACTTTTTGATTTTAATTAGCGCTTATAAATGTTTAATTAATAATAAAATAATAATAATAATAATATATTTATATTTTTTACAATATTCTATAAATTCTACTGAATGTTTGGCGTTAATATGTTTGTAATTCGTTTTTTCGATTTTCCTAACTAAAGTTTTTTGGTAAACGTTTAGTTTATTAAAATTCAAAATTATTTTCCTAATTCATGCTGCAAATAAGGCCATATTTCGATTCCGAATGAATCATCATCAGTGCGGTGATGTTTATATAGGAAAATACTTTGAATTTTAATAAACTAAACGTTCACCAAAAAACTTAAGTGAGAAAAATCGAAAAAACGAACTACAAACATTTTAACGCCAAACATTCGGTAGAATTTATAGAATATTGTAAAAATTATGGTCTATTACCAATATATATATATATATATATATATATATATATATATATATATATATATATATATGTATATGTATATATATATATATATATATGTATATATATATATATATAATAAAAATTAAAATATTATTGTGAATGAGATTTTATACTTTCTAACAAATAATTATTCGCAAAACTCTGGAAATTTCTTCTCAAAATTATTGAAAATCACCTCGAATCGTTCTTGGAAAAAACACGTTCCGGCAAATAAGCTAACAAAAAGAAATGTTCGGGGAGATAATACGTATCCTTGATCATTTCTCTAAATCGAATTCGACATCAGACCTGCCAACCTGTTAGCTCGAACCTATCTGGGATTCATTTAATCTATACGAATTAAAATGCAACATTGACCAAGCGCTGCAGAAATCATTCACGGTTATTAAACGGTTTACTATTCGGCAAAACAGCAGATCCTCAAAATATATAAAGTGAGCTTAACAATCATATAAACAATTCGTCACCCACAAATAATCACCCCGATACAACGAAAAAACATCTCGCAAAATTCTCAGATGAAGTTGTATCCAGCAACTGTGACTGTAAGTTTGTCCAATCTGTCCTTCTCGTCACTGGACCCAATCAATCGATCAACATTAGTCCATCATTATGGGCTGACATTGTAAGACCCAATCAATCGATCAACATTAGTCCATCATTATGGGCTGACATTGTAAGACCAAGTGTTAAGAATCTTTACAGCGCATTTTAAGTCACATGAAGAACTTTCATCTTTCTAAAGACGAACTGAGATGGACAACTATTGCTTAAACGGACGTCATTGAGCAAATATATAAGTTTTAAGCTGACTTCAAAATTGTAAATATGGTAGGTTAGGGTCTCGTATGTAAGGAGGTAAACCATTCCAAACAACCCGTTCAAAAACCGCAAAGTTGCGAGAACCCGTCGCTTACATTGCAGTCAGGATAAAAAATAAATTGCACTCGGTTGATAGCGAGGAATATTTTAAAAAATGAAATTTGTATGATTCCAATCTATAAATGAGATAGGGAGATGCTGCATTATTGACACATTTAAACATCAAAAGTGCTATCTTGAAGAACACGTTTCTCAACCAGTGCAACCTATTCAAAATAGGCCTAACATGATCGAACCAGCTTGGCCGCACGATTCTGTATTGACGGAAGCTTTCAAAAAGACCTTTTGGTGACACCATAAAAAAACTATTGCAATAGTCAAGTCTGGAAAAAACGAAAGAGAAACCCAAACTTTGATGAACAGACGTGTTATGTGATTTTCAACATTGCGTAAAAATAGCAATTGGTAGGAGCAGACCCTCATTTTATTATTAATATGTAAATCCATCTTCAGGTTTGAGTCAGTAACAACTCCAAGACTACGGACAGATGTGGAAAAATCAAGGATGTATGGCCAATACAGATTGATCAAATTTTGACTTTTGACAGCTGCTGTCATGAACCACCCGGTAATATTTGTGTCTTAGATTGATTTGATTATAACTGATTCATACTCTTCCAAGAGCTAAATTCGATAAGACAATCAATCAGTTTATTCAGAAAAGCATTAATTGAATCTTCAGGACAAGATACCAATAACTGAATATCATCAACAAAGGCGTGAAAGCTGAACCCACATTTTTGAATGATATCAAAAACATCAGCAGTGTACATAAGAAATAACAGAGGTCCCAACACAGATCCTTGGGGAACACTAAAACACTAACTGACTTTCTTGATTACGTCAGAAAGAGTGATGTTATAAGAAACCTGCTAAGTGCGGCCCAAAAGATACGAAGAGAACGATGATAAGACTGAATCACAGAGAAAAAATTTGTGGAGAAATAATAGATGAGACGAGTATGATCGACACAATCAAATGCAGCGCTCATATCACGTAATACCAAAAAAGAAACACATTGATTGTCAATTGAAGAGAACAATTAGGAAAAAACGGGCATTTAGTTTAATTACAAATGAGAGCAGTGAATGTTTTGAAATTACTTGGGCTTGAAATTTGTTATTCATTTATTCTTTCGATGTAGATAAGTTTAAGTGTTTCACTTAAAACTATAAGGTTATATGTATATGATATTCAGTAAAAAAAACAATCAAGAAAAAATATAATTTTACTCTTTTTATAAATATTGAAACAATAATTTTGTACAAAAATATGAGAAATCAAAAATTGCAGCTGTATCGTTGTTTTTTTCAAGTTAATTCCGTTAAGTTTTGTGATGTTTCCGAGCATGTAAGAAAATTCATTCATTAACACCAAACATAAAATTAAAATTTCTGAAAAGTTAATGGAGAAAGTGAAATGGCGCTAGTCTTGTTAGAAAATTCACGAGCCGATAGTTGATTTGCTGCCTGTATACAATTTAGAAAAATAATGGGTGATAATTCAATGTTTACATTAATTTGAGAATAAAATATGAAAAAGCAACTGAAAACTAGAAAATAAATTAGGTTTTAGTGTAACTGAAAAAATGAAATAGTTAAAAAATATATTTGGAAAACAGCGTTAAACTCAGAAGCTAAACTTAACAAATTCACGAAAAATACAATTTAAATAACTCATTCGATTGGACATTTTCTAAATTTTAAATTTGTTCAGTTAAGTTTGTTGCAGTTTTCTAGAAGTGCACGCATTTCTTTCATTTAATACATACTGAAAAAAATAGATTCTTTGTTGTTAACAACCTTTAATATAATATTAAGTCTTACTTACCGATGACACTACTCTTCTTTATTCTCATTCGGATTTTAATGTACTTGTTTCTGTAATTAATAACGAATTAAATTTTATTTACGATTGGGTTGTTTCAAATAATCTACGCATTAATTCAAGTAAAACATGTTCTTATTTAGTTCTAAAATTAGAAAAGATATTGTTTATCCAGCTATATATTTAAATAATGTTTCTATTGAAAGGGTTGAGTCATTTTAATTTTTGGGAGTTATTTTATCCTCTAACTTATCTTGGTTGAATCATATCAAACAAATCTCTTGTAAACTTTCTAAAAACTTGGGTGTTATTTATCGTTTGAGGTTTAGATTTCCTAGATTTATCTTAACAACTTTATATATCTCTATTATTCTTCCTTATTTGACTTATTGTGTTTCTATTTGGGGCTGTACGTCTAAATCTAACTTTCATATTTTAACTCTAGCTCAAAATTTTTTCTTCGCAATCCGTTTAAATAAAAGAGATTTGACCATGTAAGTTCATACTATCAAACAACAAATATTTTTACCATAAACCAGCTACATATTATTTATCTATTACTATCTTTTTTAAACTTTTTAAATTAAATTATTGTCAATCTTTTAAAAATCAGATTAATTTATTTAAAAATACTAGGCAAAATTGTTTACGTTTTAATTCTAAATTTTACTTTTTGAAACCTAGAACAAATATTCCCAACTCTGTCTCATATGCGTCTTTGGAATTCATTACCAATAACTACTAAAAATTTTTCTTCTCTTGCTCTTTTTATAAAATCTATCTACTTCTCATTCAGTCAAATTATTTCAACCATGTCCTCTGTTGATTCGATTGTTTCCCTTTATATACTTCATATTTATTCAATTTTAAGATGGTTTAATATTTAAATATTTCAGTTATTCCTATTTTTTTCTTATTTATAGAACTATCATTATTTCATTGTGAAATGAAAACATTTAATTTCTAATTATAATTTTTGGTGCAAACTTTATGGTGTCCCATAAAGTCATGTCTTCGGGTCACTTTGCATTTTTGTTGAATAAACTCATCATTGAATTGAATTAGTTTTTTTTTCTTCAGAGCAACACACACCAACATTCAGGCATTGACTTTGTTAATTTTTTACCTTCTTTATTAATTGAACACGCACACAAACACACACACCACACACGCACACACACGGCATACTTGAACTAGCGTAATAACCACATATCACACATACAATATGTATATGACAGTTGGGGATATCTATGCATTTGAACCAGGTCTCAACTAAACAAATCTGTTTTGTTTTTGGCTTCATGTGTTTGGTAGCCATGAGAAAAATTGGTAAACTTGTAAAGGAAAATAATTTCCATTTTGTAACCACTAACCTGAAATTGACTCTTGCTCTTGAATGGAAACAGTTACATTTATGTATTATTTTAATTTTTGTTACAGAATAAATGCATACGCATGTTTTTACGATGTTATCACAACTTTAAAACGAGTAAGATAGAATATTTTACTATTTCTATTATCTAAATACGTTGGTTTATATTTTTTTTTGATAAATTGAACTTTTTGAAAAAAAGATGATTTTCAAAATGACTAAAAATGACTTCATCAACATTAAAGATTCGAAAGCATAAAATTAAAAGATATAAATAAAAAATTTTGAACAAATTTCATGATATAACCTTGTCCAGTCTGAAGCGCTGTTGAATCATAGACAAATAAAAAATAATCGACATTGTAAATCAGTGCAGCGCCTTAGTGTAATGGTTAAGATAGCTAGCACTGCAGTTGCAGAAAATGTAAAGATTTTTCGTGCCCAGTACGTACAATGATAGAAAAAAAATTTAAATAATAAAAACTGAAGACTCTTTTATGAAAATTCTCGTAATCCCGTTTAATCATTTTTGGTGGGAGATGTTTCTCAAGACTCTTAGTTGATGAAACCTTTACTTTATTATACTAGATTATACACATAATCTTCAATAATTTTCCCATGGTACAGTGGCAGGGTGCCAGCCACATCTCCCACCTTAGATCCGCTACTGCATGAATGCTTTAAAAAAAAGAAAAAATGTTTCTATCTAATAAAAACCTGTTGGTGAAGCCAGTTTTTTCTCTAAAATTATTCAAAGATAAAAATATTGTTTTCAAAATAATCAACGCAAATTAATTAAACTAAATAAATTATGCAATAAAATCTATTCTATTGAATTTAATTAAATGACTGAACATTTTATTTTTTTGAATATCATTTGCTCGTGATTAATTAAAAAAGTAGGAAAAAAACATTTTTTCCATTTCATTTTTTTATTTTTTCTAAGAAAAAGTAATGACTTTTTTATTTTTAACCGCACTGACTTTTGCATAAGAGGTACGTGATGAGTCCAATGCCCATTGAGATCAAAAGTGGACAGACAATGATTATCGTTATGACAATACCGGGAGGATAGTTACCCGCGTCTGTCTCATCTTCTCTCATTATTTCCTGCTCTTCGAGTTTCATTTTCAACGAAAAAATTTACTTAATTTGTTATCAAGAAACCTCTTTGTTAAAAATTTATTTCTTGAAAATGTCATAACTGATGTATAAAAAGCTGCTACCTTCCTCATTAATGTTCATGATTAACGAGATTTGATGCCAAACAGCATTATGAATGAGCCAAAATCGCGCGCGTTCATAAAAATGTACGAAGCCACTAAACAAAATTTCCAACAGCTTGTATATTTACGCTTTAAAACATGGGAGTGCCTGTTGAAGCAAACCTGTTTGCCTACATGTACATTAGAAAAAAAGACACTAAATACGCATGAACTTTAATTGACTTACTTTTACATTGAGATTCAATGGTTGTTACAAAACCTTTTCCGCACAGGCATTTTTCAAACATGATATTGTTTACTATTTCTTGGACACACATCATTTCCTTGCCACAGTCACCGTTATTAACACCGCAATCTAAATGTCGTTAGTTTATTTCAAAACCAACAATATTTATTAAACAATTTTTCATGCTATTAACTTAAAGTACAATACCATTAAACTGTTTTTTATTTATCAAGACAAAAAATTTTTGATGGAATATTCAAAAAAACCTACCACGAGTTTTGGGTATTTGTTTCTTTCAAGTTGAAAGATTGGGCAAGTTAAAAAATTGTATCGAAAATGACAAAAAAGTTTTCGAAACAAATTTTCAAACTTCTCTTATCACAGAGTGCTCCAGTCCAGCCTATTTTGCAATGACCAGTTTTACAGTAAGCTTGCTTACTTTCTATCTTATCATTCATGCAGTAGTTGTATTTTGTCGGTTTTCCTTGAGCATCCAAATCCGGCGAAACTGAATGGTTATAAAATTTACAAATGTATAACTACGTGTTAAGGCGGCATGATGGCGTAATGTTGTATGTGCTTGGCACTAAACTTGCATAGACTAGGAACAAATGCAAGGAGATCCCAGCCTGTCCCTTGGCTAATGTGCTTGATTTTGATGTTTCTTAAAAACTCATTGGAAGAAAGAAGGAAAAAATTCAAGTACGAACCGTCAGAAAGGAGAGCGAACACAGAAGGTTCTTCGCATTGTTCCTTGTTCAACTGGTCTTTGAATTCTATTTTTCTTCCGCATTGGCATGTTTCATCCTAAGAAAAAAATATTAGAAAAAAAAGCATTATTTAGATTTCATTATCTATACTGTTTGAAATAAAAATAAAGAAATAAAATCAATTTATTTTATCATTTCATAACTCTCAAAAAACTGTTCCTCAAAAAGTCAAAACTCACTCTGGTCCCGCTGTACGGAAACCCAAGCTCCTTGCATTTGTCCAAACAAAAAGCTTTACTTAATAATTGATCATGTTTGTGCTCAAGTTCCAGGTATTTGAAACAGCCAATCGCAATTGATTGATTTGATTTTTCTGTTATTTTGTAATGAGAAATGTGAGGGTTGTATAGTTTTGTATAAATCAGTACGTTGAAATCTAATCATACGTACATCATTATACGACATATTTAATAATTTTTTTGCTTACCAAAAGTCAGCTTTGACAAATTTTATAGCTGATTTTATAGCATTTTATATTCTTAAAAATGTCTTCAAAACAAAAGCTGTACCATTCATACCGCATGACGAACCACACACCACAGGACGCACAACACACATGTTGTATGCACCGCATCACACACGCGTGACATGTGTTTGTTCATAAGTTGCGGATGAATAGCATCGCGCAATTGAAACATAGCAATTCTACTGTCAATCTAAACTAGCCAATTTGAACTAAAAACTCAAAATGATCTGAGGCACGTTACTGGCATATACAGAATGGAAAGAAGACCCCCCACACGACAGCCCATCTGAACATTTCTTATTGCATTTGTCGGCACCAGCTTCATTCTCAACACTGTTGGTACATGTGCATAACCGACCATCCTGAATTTTTTAAATTCAAAAAATCTTTTAATCTTCAGTGGAAAAAAAATTAATTAAATCAACTTAAAAATCAGATTCAAAAAGCGTAAACTATCCACTCACATTCATTGCGTAGAATGATGTTTCTTTACAATATTCAAAACACGATTTTACTGAAATAATCATCAGCTCCTTAGAAGACTGCACTTTGTTGAAACAACCCTTGTAATTCCAGTCGCTCTTAGGTTTATCTTGTAAAAACAGACAAGAAAAAAAATCAAAATGTTCTATTTAACTAATTTTTAGAAATTTTACTAACCGAGGCTTGAATTCTCATAAACTTCGGGTACTGTGAATATTTCTTCATCTGGCGGATTGCACTTGACTTGAACATCAAATACATCACCTTGAACCTCAACACAGACGTCCTCACCACATCCTCCATTATTTTCTTCACATGAAGTGATGGGATCACTTGCTGGTGTTTCCACGTCTGTTCCGTCAGTCACATTCGATATTATTGGAACGTTAGAGATTCGGTCAGTCACATTCGATATTATTGGAACGTTAGAGATTCGGTCAGTCACATTCGATATTATTGGAACGTTAGAGATTCGGTCAGTCACATTCGGTGTTCTTGAGGAGCTCGTTGTAATTTCATTTAATTCAGGTAGTGTCATTCCTAGCAATGCAACAAAAATATCATGAAAATTCAAATTTCTTTAAATGTTGAAAAAAATTTGTATTTGCTACAACTAAATTTCTTAAAAACTAAAATTGTGGGAAAAATTTTGTTTACTAAAATCTGGGTTATTTTTTCAACTCTCCCATATTTGCAACATTTTACCTCGAAACAAAATTTCATTGTTCCGAGGGTGCCTCAGTTGCTTGAATTTGCGCTATATAAATTATATTATTATTTTTATTATCATTTTTTTTTGTTTTAATATTAACAATATTTTCTTTTTTTATTATTATTATTAAATCCTCCAACTGTGAATAGAGTTTAAAATTGCTTTCGTTACTATTGTGTATTTTAATAAATGAATTGTGAACAATTTCTTTAGCTAATACATTTAAGCGTACTGAAATTTTTAATTTTGTTCCACGAAAGTTGTAACATCCACACTACACGATGTATATACACACCATCTCAACACACACCACAGGCAAGGCATTTTGTATAGTCATTGAGTTTTGCACTGACAGTATTTGAACCAGGTAACAAAGTGAGACATGGCACTTCTCTCGACTGAGCTGTTTAATAGCACACAGGCTCAAGGCTCATTGAGCAAAAATTATAGATACTATATAAAGTACTCACTAAATAACTCGCTGATGTTTATAAGAAGGGAGGTGTTTAAATAAATCTTATTGTTTTATAGAATTCTGCACCTTTCTGATTGCAAAGCTTTCCGCTCCAGCCTGGCAAACAAACTGTGGATGTACAATAACTCTTTTTGCTCTCAACTACATTATTCAGGCAGTATTGGTATATTGTTGAGATGTTGTGCTTTTCTGTTTCCAGAGAAACTGTTCATGTGAAAATAAAAGAAACTTTTATTAAATGGAATATTCAATGTTAATGATTTAAAATATATTTGAAATAGATTGAATTCTCGACATTTGCTCGGACTAGATGTTGGACTTGAAACATTTTCGTTGTGATCAAAATGAGTTTCCTTATTTCACAAAAACTATTTATGTTCAATTTTACTTAAAACTTCCTAAACCAATCGACAACTGCTTTTATTAACCGTCAAAGAGTTTAAAAATTCTTTTATCATCATCACAATCAGCAAGTTTCATCTGATTCTCCGTTGTGAAATCATTTCCACATATGCAGACAGAACTCTAAAAAATAATCAAAAATTTCAATGAAAATTATTTAATTTGCTCGAAATTTTGACAAAAATTAATTTTAGGTTTCGGGCAGTGCGATGATGTAATTGTAACATGTGCTGCTGTGGCATGAATCGTTTACGTTGGTTGCTGGTACCTCGAGAAAATTTTTAAAATAGATCAAGTAACTATATATATATATATATATATATATATATATATATATATATATATATATATGTATATCTCTATATATACCTATATTGGTGTGTGAGTGGTGTGTGTGTGTTTATTTCTTCATAGGACCATTGAATGAGTTTAAGACATTGGATGTGTACAAAACGTTACAAAAACAAGTTGTAAACAAAGCAAAACAAAATTAAATCGGATAACACGCCATTGAGGTTAAAAGCCTTTTTAATGGGCTGTAGGTAAAGGGAAAGTATTTCATAAACACTCTACAGAGTTTTTCAAGCATTTAAAACTGGAATAAAATAACAAACTTGATTACTAACATTGAAAGTGCTATACTTATACATATGTTCGAAGCATGTTTCTACGCAATCAGAAGGAATCGATGACATCACCGTTCTCGGTTGAACGTTTATACCCGAAAAACATCCGACCGGAATGACGGTGTTCTCTAATTTTGCAAGTGAACAAATGAAAAAAAAAATGAAAAAGTGATTTGATTTTGTATTAACTAAAAGTTATACATAATGAGAATTTTTATCAATTTTTCATTAACACGAAGCAATATGAAGTTGTTACTTTCATATAAAGAAATGAATTTATTCCCTCCACACGGAAAGCCATCAGAACAAAGTTTATCACATTTCGTCTCAACGACTTTGTCCTCAAAACTTTTTAGACAAAAGCACATTTCTTCTATCTGAATATTAAAAATTATTACTAGGATTAGAAATTGAATTGAAATGAAAAGAAACAAAGTTGTCAAAAAGTTGTTTGCATATGTTACTACATGTTTAACAATTAACTAACCATTATGCCTATGCCATAGTAGTTGTCGATAATACACTCTTTCCGACAACCAATTAACGTAAAAACATTTAAATACATAGCAGAGTTTTTTAATGTGATCCATTCAATTAACGTAGAATCTTCTAAAATAGTAGCAAAGTTTTCTAATATGAGCCTATAGCACCCTTTATAATTCCAGAGCTTTAGAATTGTTTCATTCACTCCTATATGAGAACATAAAAACAAAAGAGAATTGTTTGTTAGAAACTACCAATTTCAATATCTCTTACACTTTAAATCGTTTTTAGTATTTTGAATTGTTAAATAATATTGTCTGTCTCTTTAAATTATATTCCCACTTTCATTTTAAAAAGCTTGACAGAAACCAATTTTTGAACATACTTTCAATTGCTGCCGTTGGATGGTAGGAAGCAAGCAGGACAACGAAGACTACCAGAGACAACTTTCTCAAAGCCATGAAGCACAACTCGTGCCTGATGAATAACCACCAATTACATTTTCAACATCAATTATCACCCAGGTTTGTTTGTTCATAAAAGTTGGTTGATGTTAAGAATGTCTTTTCTTTCAAGTTTATAAATGAAATGTACCGGATATCACGCAGTTAAAAACGAACTGAAAGTAACTAAGCAAATTAAAAAAAAATATTTACTATTTATCTGATTGTGACGTAATTGAAAGAAATATTTACAATAGAGTTATTAATTTGAACTGGTGTAAATTATTTATAGAATACTGAATTAAATATCCATTATATAAAATTATCATTGGTAGACTAGCGTTATGGTAATGCATCTCTCCATCTATGGAGAGATGCATTACCGTAACGCTATGCATAACGGAGTTTATTAGAAACTAACGTTTCTAATAAACTCCGTAAAAAGGAGACCAAAGTAGATGACCAGCCAATAAAGAAACTTGACACCTAATTTCCATCTAAGTTCATTTTGACAAAGTCAATATTTCCCTATATAAATATCAACCGCACTGATGATGATTCATTCGAGTTCGTTTTTTCAAACATGTTAACGCCAAACATTTGGTAGAATTTATAGATTATTGTAAAAATTATGGTCTATTACCAATACATATATATATATATATATATATATATATATATATATATATATATATATATATATATATATATAACTTTCTCGGAGCCATGAAGCACAACTCTTGCCTGATGGATAATCACCAATTATTATATTTTCAACATCAATCTATCCACTGATTCGTTTGTTTGCACGTCGGTTTATAAAAGTTGGTTGATGTTAGGCATGTGAAAATTACTATTTATCTTACTTTGACGTTATTGAAAAAAATATTTACAATAGAATCATTAAATTAAAATTGATTATTTACCAGAACACCGAAATTTGTTCGAATACAAAGAGATCCCCGCCTATCATATGCAATGTGTATGATGCGTGATTTGCACGCGTATTCATGTACGCTGTGTGTGTTTGTCGTTGAAACCTCTGAAGCAAACGCAAAAGAGAGAGAGAAACCTTTATTCACATTGGCTTCTGGCAGATTAGTGTGGTGTGTTAATATTCCCTCAAATTTCAAAAACAACATTACAGCGACCAGCAATGAACAAATTGTCTATTTTTCTAATCACAGAAGGCCTCAATCAATTGACAACAATTTTTGAGTTTTGTAGATAAACAACGACTTGAGACAAATCGTACAACCAAAGCGTTCTTCAACAAGGCTGGACTGAATTTTAACGCTATCCAAGCAACGGATGTTCTCCAAACGTCATAAACAAGCCTCATAGCGGCAAATCAAAAAACGCCAAGACATTATTAGGCCTTAACCGAAACTTCAACAAATGAACCAACAACAAAACTAAGCAACAAACCAGCCAAACAAAGGTACTAACGATCTACCAAATAACGACAACAACAATCCAACAAAAACAAAAACAACAGAATGAATGAATGAATAAATGAATGAATGAATGAAATAAGGAAGGAAGAAAGAAATGAATGAATGAATGAACGAACGAACGAATGAACGAACGAATGAACGAACGAACAAACGAACGAATGAACGAAAAATCTCTTCTTCACGACCGGATAGATGATTGGCTGTCTGTATAAAATTTATAAAAATAATGAATGATATTTCAAATTTCACATTAATTTGTGAAAAAAATATGACAAAGCAACCAAAAACAAGAAAATGAATTTGGTTTTAGTGAAACTAAAAAAGGGAAATTGTTAAAAATCTAATTGGAAAACAACAGAAACCTCTTAAACTTCCTAAATCTACAAATTTTCAAAAAAAAAATTATTTCAAATTTATAAATTTGCTTCAAATAGTTTTGATGCAGTTGTCTAGACATGCATGCATTTTTTCATTCAATACATCCTGAAAATAAATGATTTCTATATATTTATAGAGTACTCTGTTTTTGCATTTTCTTTAGCCGCACACACACGGCATACTTGAACTAGCGAAATAACCACACATCACACATATAGTATGCGATAGTTGGGAATATCTATGCATTTGAACCAGGTCTCAGCTAAACAGGTCCAGGCACCCTTTACGACTACGCTATCATTCTTCCCAATAATTAAAAAGAATGTTTTGTTTTTGGCTACACATGTTCAGAAGTCAAAAGAAAAATTGATATCGTTTTGAAAAAAAAAATTAGTTCCATTTTGTATCCACTAACCTAAAATTGACTCTTGGTCTTCCAAATCTGTTACTGTTGAAAGGAAAAGTTTATTGAATAGAAAAAATTATATATGTATATTTTTTTCAATTTGTATCACAGACTAAATACATATGTATATATGCAATATGTTTTACGATGTTATCATAATTTTAAAACGAGAAATTCAACACTTTTCTTTTACAAAAAAACTAAAATGTTGAAAAAAAAACTTTTGTAAGTAGGAAAGTATTAAATGGGTTATATGCAAGTTTACTTAGTTTGTTCGTGCTAAATTCTTATTTGATGGAACTTTTCTAATTTTATATTACTAAAATTTATTTACATTGAAGAATAATTTCCTTAATTAATTACTATTTTTATTGCCCAAATATGTAGATTTACATCTTTTTTAGAAATCGAACTTTTAGTAAAAAAGATGTCCTTCAAATTGATCAAAAATGTTGCTTCCTCATGTTTTCAAATCAAAGGCATTTAGATTGAAACCCATAAAATAGTGCTATTGTTTGCTAGAGTATATTTCAAATTTTATAAGAATAGTATAATTCGGTTATCCGTTTAGCAAAAACGAGATTAGATTGAAATCCAATCTTTCTTTAAATTTTGACTGCAAGAAATTTTTTGCTTTTGCATTATTTTCCAATTTCCTTACTAAATTTGTCTAAATTTAGCAATTTTACAAATATTTCTTTACTTATACTTATTAAAATAATTTCACTTTAAACAAATCATTTACTAAACACTAAACATTCTAAGCATAAAATTAAAAACAATAAAAATGTGAAAAATTTTAAATAAATTTCATGATATAACCTTCACTAGTCTGACGCTCCGTTGAATCATAGATAAATAAAAAAATAATCGACATTGTAAATCAGTGCAGCGCCTTAGTGTAATGGTTAAGATAGCTAGCACTGCAGTTGCGGGGAGTGTAAAGACATTCTTTGCTCATTACGTGCTATGTGCGCGATGTATTTTTTTATTTATTTACCTTGAGTATGGCGTCCAAAAAAGATGTGAAAAATATTGAGTAAAAAAATATTTAAGAACACACACACACACACACACACACACACACACACACACACACACACACACACACACACACACACACACACACACACACACACACACACACACATATATATATATATATATATATTATTTGCCGGTGACAAGAACAAAGATATACGGCAATAGCTGCTTGATATGTGGAATAAAAACTTGGAACAAGTTAGCGACCATTATTCAACAATCGCGATCCTACTGGAGGCTCAAGTCCGACATCTATAAATTGATAGAATTAGATGCAATTTGACCAATCTTTTTTTACAGATTTCTTTCTATTTTGTTTTAAGAAACAATATTGTGTTTTTTTCTTTTTGTTTTTTAGGACATTATGAACAAATTTTGTTTTATTAATTAGTTAAATTGACAATTGAACAATATAATTTCTGTTAGTTAAGTTGCCGAACAAGCCCTGTGGGCTTCTGGTTTTACTTTAATTAAATAAATAAATAAATAAATAAATAAATATATATATATATATTTTTACAATATTTTATGAATATATTTTATATAATACAAACTGAGGACCCTTTTATGCAAATTTTCCTAATTCCGATTAATCATTTTTGGTGGGGGGATTATTCTAAAGATTCTTAGTTGATGAAAAGTTTACTTTATTTTACTAGATTGTACACATAATCTTTGATAATTTTTTTTTCTTGTATGGTGGCACATCTCCGACCTTAGATCCGTCACTGAATGGGTGATTGTAAAAAATGAATACAGTTTTGATCTAATATAAACCTGTTTGTGTTACCGGTCGCCGTTCTAAAATTATTGAAAGAATGAAATAAAAATAATCATCGCAAATTAATTAAATTGAATAAATGTAACAATAAATTTAATTTTTTCTGAATTCAATCATTTGACTAAACATTCTAATTTTCTGAAAGTCATTTGCTCGTGATTAATAAAAAAATAAAAAAAAAAAAATTTTTTTCCCATTTCATTTTTCAATGAAAAACTAATGGTTTATTGAATTATTACCTTGTTTAGTTGGTGTGCTTATCTGTTTTCAGAGAAACTGTTCATGTGAAAATAAAAGAAACTTTTATTAAAGTAAATATGAAAAAAAAATTAATTAAACGGATATTTTATTTTTAATGATTTATAATATATTTGAAATAGATTGAATTCTCAACATTTGCTCGGACTAGATGTTGGACTTGAAACATTTCCATTGTGATCAAAATGAGTTTCCTTATTTTACAAAAACTATTTATGTTCAATTTTACTTAAAAATTTCTAAAACAATCGACAACAACTGCTTTTATTAACCGTCAAAGAGTTTAAAAATTCTTTTATCACCATCACAATCAGCAAGTTTTTTCTGACTCTTCGTTTTGAAGTCATTTCCACATATGCAGATAGAACTCTAAAAATTAATTCAAATTTTCATTGAAAACCATTTAATCTTCTTTCAATTAGGTCAAAAGTTAATTTTAGGTTTCGGCAGAACGATAGTAATATATATATAAATATAATATATATTTATTATAAATATATAGATAGATATATGTATATATATATTTATATATATATATATAAATATATATATATATATATATATATATATATACATAACATAACATAAACAGAAAAAAATGAAGCGCGAACTTGAAACAACTTATAGGTAACCTTCAAAATGAAAGAGAATTAGTAATGTCAAAAACAATAATAATAATTAATTAACAAACTATATAAAAATAAGCTACATTAAGTTAACAGCAAATAAATAAAATTACATCTGTATAACTATAGAAACACGTGTGTGAAGACATACAAATGAGTACTTATAAAGGAATTATTCATTTAATTCACCGATATAAGATACAAGATATAGATACCGCAAGATACCGATATATACCTATCTACATATATGAACTGAACATATACTCACATACAGTTATATACATATATACACGCCTATATGCGTGTGTGTGGTGTGTTTGTGTTGTGTGCGTGTGTGTCTGTGTGGGTGGTCTGTTTATTTCTTCATTGGATCATTGAATGAGTTTAAGACATTGGATGTGTACAAAACGTTACAAAAACAAGTTGTAAACAAAGCAAAACAAAATTAAATCGGATAACACGCCATTGAGGTTAAAAGCCTTTTTAATGGGCTGTAGGTAAAGGGAAAGTATTTCATAAACACTCTACAGAGTTTTTCAAGCATTTAAAACTGGAATAAAATAACAAACTTGATTACTAACATTGAAAGTGCTATACTTATACATATGTTCGAAGCATGTTTGTACGCAATCAGAAGGAGTCGATGACATCACCGTTCTCGGTTGAACGTTTATACCTGTAAAACATCCGACCGGAATGACGGTGTTCTCTGTAATTTTGCAAGTGAACAAATGAAAAAAAAATGAAAAAGTGATTTGATTTTGTGTTAACTAAAGGT